GATTGTCTTTCTGCTTCTGCCTGAGCCAAGCCTTGGGTGTGGGTTTAGTTTAGGGTTTATAGGTTTTAGGGTGATTTCGGGTTTAGGGTGTAGGGTGAATCCCAGGGTGAAGGGTTTAGCATAAATTGGGGTTTAGGGTTTAAGGTTTGGGGTAAGATGGTCAGCCAAGCCTTCGTTGAAAGTGAACCAGGCGGAGCCAAAGCGCCAGAGGCGCCACTGCCACCAGCAGCCTTCACTGTTTGGCTTCATGGTTACAACTCTCGTCTCGTGATGCAGAGACTTACTACAGGTGAAGCTGCAGCTAGGGGGCCGCATCAGGCCCATTGTCCTCAGGACCCTCATCATCTTTTCCATTTCGGAGAATTGATCGAAGGTCCAAGCTGCATTTGGGGCAGTGGTCCACAAACCTGGTGCCTTTGCTGAACAAAGGTAACAAAAGGAATCCGCAAGCTCATGCAGTGCAAACACGAATGAAACCCCAAGCAAAGTCAAGGGGCTGTACTTTGTTTTGAAGTCATCGGCAGTGTACTGCATCATGCAAACGACGCACGTCATCAACAAAGCAGCGGCAGGGACAGCAGCATCCGGAGCCGTGGCATCCATGGCGGCAGCAAACGCTCTTGTCCAAGGGACAAGACCTCAAGCTTACAAATGAGGTTTGAAGGTCCGAAGACCGCCAAGTCAGTGAGTCAGTCAGTCCTAATGCAGACTAAGCATGCATGAACTGGCAAGAGCTAACACGATGCGGCGATCGACTCATGGGCTTCAGATTTCTGATACCTCAGTCACCTGCGCATGAGCTGTGCAGCGCGCGCTCAAAGCGTTTTTTTTCGGGAATGTCGAACTGACAGGCTTATGTGCGACGTCTGACACACGGCTGAATGGTGCTTTCTGATTCTGAAAGGGTTGCGAATCGGAACCCGAAGTTGAAACCAAATATGTATGACCTAAACAATGACCTAGACGTAACCCATACGAGCCACAGTCTGAACTCCTTGGAGGGGCTTATAATGTGCAGCCTATATGGGTGGTCAGTGGTTCTATTGGGGAATAATCTTGTAGAGCTTATCAAGGGCGATACTAGGAGTTTAGACTATAGTTCATATGTCTTGCGATCAATGGTCCCCAGTCCCCCAACCCTTTCAAACTGGGTTCTCGCAAGGGCGGTTGACACACACTACCCCATGGGCCCCATTACCCCATCCCTGGACCCCACCGGCGGCCGCCGAATAACATCAAGCGCTGTCAGAAGGTCTGGCACTAGCCTTGTTTCGCTACCTGGGGCCCCGGGCACGCAGCCAAAGCCAAAGACTATGATCCTTTGAATCCTTTACTTTACCCACTACCCAGTCACCGGACTTGCCGGAGACTCACGGATGAAACTGTACACAAAAGCCATGAAGGCTGTCATGCAGGCCTGGTTAAAAGAATTTCCGCTCAGGCGGCGGAGCGCAGCTGCAGATACGCAGCAAGGATCGAACAGGAGCTTCACACCTGCTGCATCTAGAGTGTCTGAATACATCGGGACCCCCTGCATCTCCAGGATCTCCTGGAAGGTTTTCTCACGCGAGCGGTGAACTACCATCTTGCCGTCTGGGTTTACGGTTTGGAATTTGGGTTTAGCTGTGTAGGGCAGTTTAGGGCTCACGGTCTGAACTGGAACAATGTNNTCCCTGGCCCTGGCCCAGGCAACCCTCAATCCTCAACCCTCAACCCGGCAAACCAAACCTGTGTCACATGTGAGTCACAGCGGCGGTCCTTCGCTGTGTAAGGACGGCCCCGAAGCAAGCCGAACATGTGACGCGTGCTGGCCAACACAACAGGTGCAACGCTGCCCCAATGCTCCTGCAAGATGCGAAGAGGTCCAAAATCCAAATCGAAAAGGTTTGTGATCATCATTCTGCGTTCGCCTTGCTACTGCCTACTGCCACTTCATGTACAACCATGAGGCGGAAATGAGGCGGCTACGATAGTATGGAGCCAAGCCCCGAGTTGGTCCTGCTGAAGGATGTTCTGATCAAGATTTATGCAAACTTCACGTCGCGGTCGTCGGTTCATGACCGACACGACAGCTGGCCATTTCAAGGCCGTCTGAAGATTCACAGCCGCTGCGACTGGAAGCAACTCCGCCCATTCGCTGTTGGCTGCCTTGCGGGCCTGGGAAGCTCACGAGCTACTATTCGCACCGTTTCAACAGGCTTGGTCAAAGCACCAGGCACATATTGCTGCCACGTGACCAGGTGAGCAAGATGACGCCGCATCTCATCGACCTGCGTTGCGCAGGTAAGCATGGACTGAATTCACTGAGTCATTGAACTCCAAGTTCTCAAGGAAGTAAGAATCGAATCACGGGTGACAAGCCCGTATCCGCCGCAGCGCGTCTTTTCTAGGGTTGATTTGGGATGTGGAGGATGGGGATTTGGGCACCTACAAGAAGTGAGTTTCCGTGGCTCTACAAGGAAGATTTGGGGCAGTAGTAAAGCCTGAAGAACGATTTGAAATCACCTCCATGCGTCAGAACTGACTCTGAACCCTGAGAAAGCTACTTGTGACATTCCAATTGGATTCCAACTCACAATGAATGCGTCAACTGTCTGTCCGTGGCCTCCTCATCGGGCGCTCCGAAAAAGACTCCAGCATCTGCTTTGCAGGATGCAAACAATCGGAAGATGTTTGCCACATCGGCGTCGAGGACAAAGCCCTGACGAACCATGCAGCTGTAGGACCTGGTTCTGCGGACTGGCATGCCGAAGTTCGGAGGTTCGACAAGCGTGTGGTGGATCGCGTATCCAGGCAGAAGTTCGCCGCCAGCGTCTGGACCCTCTTGGCCACTTTGGCTATCTTGGCCATCGCTGTCACCACCACTCTCCTCCTCATCATCACCCTGATTCATGGAGGCCGTGAAGATTGACCAGCGAAAGGTCCGGGTGCACTCGTGCAAACAGACGGCTGGCCGCCAGCGCCTCAGCAGGCACAGAAAGATGACAAAGGCGATCACGGACTTGCCCTGAAAGCCATTCTGGTTGCCCATCGAGCTCCTGATATAGAGGACAATACGCAAGTGTGCAAAAATGGCCAACAGTTGCGGGCAACGTTGACTGCTTCCATGTTTTAACTCAAATGCACAACTGATGCCCTAGCAGCTAACAATCTAACACCCCCACCCCCAGCCCCCGTCCAGTCTGTGCAGGTGCTGCCAGCGACGACCAGCAAGAAATGGAACGCCGCGATTGCGGCCATTGAAACCTGAAAAACGATTGCCACGACACGACTACTCTATGTCTACTTAACACCTTCTAAGCCATTAAGCCAGACTTGACCCCCCCTGCTGAACTATCAATGTCGACTTCGTTCCCTGGCTTGTAACATCAAAATCAAAATCATTGTCAACAAGCCCTCCACGTATCCACACCCCAACCCCGAATAGACGCCACATGCCCTGGGATAGGGTTAAATGGGGTGT